CTATAAAGTATACATAAAGAACACAAAAAAATTAAAACAAAACCCAACAACTACATCATACATTTGGTCTCATTAAAACTAAGACTTGGTTATAATAAACATTAAATACCTGAATGGTAATGATTTCACTTGGATTCTTAACATTTAGAAGGACTGTTTTGGGATTACTTAGCTCTATCTCTTTAAAGAGTAGTCTAAGAAAATTTGAATGGGTAAGTTTTTCTTTTTCTTGATGCATTCCCTTATTGCAAGCAGAGGCAAAAGCCAGTCAGTTGAAATAAAAGACACTTTAAAATTGGGATGGTTCTTTTTAAAATTTCCTACTGTAACAGTTCAACCTTCAAAAGCCTAAAGAAAGACCTTAATTGCTGGCAGATTCAGAGAGCAGCCATTTTTTTTTAACGCTTCTCTTCTTCATTTTCTTTTTCTTCCTTCTTTTTAACTACATCGGAAATATCAAAGGAAGTCTTGCACAGGAAAAAAAAGTCACTAAAAGGCAATCCAGGTCTGGAAGCCAGACAGTTGCATCTTGATTGTCTGTCTACAAACCTGGGGCTTTAAGCAAAGCAAAACAAAACAAAACAAACAAACAAAAAAACCTACTCAGTCCTCTGATTGATCAGTTCCTCCAAGCCCCTCTATTTTAGGGAAACTACCCTCACTAGCCACATCTTTATTCTAGGGTCAGGGTTCTACTCCTGATTCTCCAGGACATTCTCCACCATGGCACCAACTGGGCAGCTTCTCTTTCCCCACCCCCTTCAGCTTACTTTTATGGCTTATCTTCTACCATTAGAATGTAAGGGCAGGAACTTTTTGCTTAGCATAGTCCTTGGTACTGAACAAACACTTAATAATTCATGTTGACTTGACTTAAATCCCCTAAATTTGTTGCCCTGAGACCTGAATTTGAATGCTGCCTCAGGCACTTACTAGTTGTGTGATACTGGACAAGTCACTTTACTCCTGTCTGCCTCGGTTTCCTCATCTGTAAAATGATAGTAGTTCCTATATCCCAAGACTGTTGTGATGATAAAATGAGATAATATTTGTAAAATGCTTTGCAAACCTCACAATGCTACATAAATGTTAGCTATTATTATAATTATCAGTAGCTTAAAAATTCTTCTGCAGGAACTTTCAATGAGTAGGTAAAGGCAAACAAAATATATAGCACAGAGGAAAGAACACTGGATTTGGAGTCAAAAGATCTAGATTTGAGTCCTGGCTTTTTCACTCCGTGGAAGCTGTATGACTTTGGGCAAGTCATTTAACACATCTCTGAATCTCTATTTCCTTATCTATACATTATTCCTACCCCTTTAAGAACAGGTTGAAATATACTGAATAAGCTGTGAAAGTTTATATAATCCCTGTCAGGGAAAGCACCAAAAGTAGAAGGTAAACTCCATATTCCATCCAAAAGAGCCAGTTAGAATACCTGCAATGTCTGATTAGAAACACAATGCTAGGAACATTTTAGTTGTAGCTAAGTAATCACTTGCTAACATCATTTAATTAAATATTTGTTTTGCATTAATGGTTAAAGTTGTGCTCAAGCTTTAAACCCAGTTGTAATGAGATATATTAGATCCTAGTGGGAATAAAGAAAAAGGGGTTATTAATGTTTGTGCTACAAAGAAATAATACAAAGAGCTAAATAATCCAGTTCAATTCTGGCTTCAGACACTTACAAGCTGTGTGACCCTTAACCTCTGTCTCAGTTTCCTCAATGGTAAAATGGGGATAATAATAGCTCCTACCTCCCAAGGTTGTTGTGAGGATCAAACAAGATAACTGTAAAGTGCTTAGTACAGTGCCTCGCACATAGTAAGTGCTATATAAATGTTAGCTGTTATTATTATTATTAAAATGAATATAGTAAGATAACCACATCTCCTGCATCTGACCCCTTCTCATTACTAACCACCACATTACTAACCAGCCTTCACTCAGTCTCTCATATCTTCTCACTTGTACTATTTTATAATAGCCTCTTAATTGGTTCTCCTGCCTCAAGTTTCTCCTTATTCCAACTATTCTCCATATGAGTACCAAAATTAGTTTTCTTAACTACATATATGACCTACTCTATTCAATAAACTTCAGTGCTTCCTTACTAGTTTTATGACAAATACAAATCACTCTGTTTGCCTTTTATAGATCTTCACATAGTCCAACCTATCTTTCCAGCCTTATTATCTACTGCTTTCTTTTCTGTACTCTCTGGTCCAGCCAAACTTGCCTTCTCTCTGTGCCTTTGTAAGGGCTGATATACCTGGAACACAATCCTGCCTTGCCTCTGCCTCACAGAATTTCCTCAATTCCTTCAAGAGACAGCTTACGCACCATCTTCTCCACCAAGTCATTCCAGATTTCCCAAAATGCTAGTGCCTTCCCTCTCTAATTTGTATTGATTTGTTATTTATTCTATAAGTACATTATATATATATTCTATACATGCTTATGGTTTTTCCCCTTACTAGCTGTATACTCCTCAAGGTCACGGAATGTTTGACTTTTGTCTCTATGTCCTGAATGCCAGGCACAGAATAGGCATATAATAAATGCTTGTTGATTAATTCTGTAGAATGCAAATGAATGGTCACCATAGGTCTTGAGTCTACTATCTTTTATTTTTGCTTTAATGGGGGTGAATTAGCTGAAAAACATGCCATAAATATGCAAATCAGTAGGAAAGTAAGGCACTTTGGTTTTGGCCATGAAAACTAATTAAAATCCATAGAGCCTTAAACCAGTTAATACAACTTTTTTAATATATTTAACCTAATGCCCCAGGTATACTCAACTGAGGCACTGGGAGAAACCTACTTTTAAAACTTGACAGTCTAATCTGATGAGAGTTCAGTAATATTTAACAGCAATGCTACCATATATCACTAATGATTTCACTCTAAGATCAGTGAACTGAATATAGTCAATCAAAGCCAGCTCACTTTCCTCTGATTCCTCACAGAAAAATTTCCTTTTCTTCTGTTCCTTTAAAACTATCAACATGAAACACTGAAGTCTACTTAAGTAAGCTGTTTTGGTTTCAGAGGGTGGGGGATTATCCTCCCTTGATATTACTTTAAAAGGATGCAAGAGATCTACAGGGAGTCAACTCCCTATCCCTACTAGGATCTAACAACCAAAAGAACATAAGCCTTCCTAATGGATTCTTAACATTAACTAAGATGTGATTTAAAAAAAAAATAATGAATTCCAAATTAGCCCCCCCCAACCTGAAGACCTTAATATAACCACAAAAGACAAGGTGATTCATTTTATTCATATAGGGACATGACAAACAATTCTGGTCAACTACTGATTCATAACCCCTATAATTATACTACCACATACACTCCATTTTGTGAAAGTAACAGGACATTTCTCTTTGGAGGTATGGTTCTAATCGTAGTTCATGTTTATAACACTTTATGGTGATATTTATCTATTAATATTGGTGTTTGTACCCAGCTACTAGGACATCTAATAAGAAGAAAGGGCCACATAAGACAGTGCCTATGGTATGAGATTTAACATCAGCATCTCTGTACCAAGAGCATCCAGAGATCCAGTGGCGTGCTGTTGTTTCTTATCTTTCCTTCAACGCCACAAATGCTCTTCCTTCTTCAGTTTTTGTAAAGTGAGTCATCTCAAGTCCTGTTTGGATGATAAACCAACCCCCGGGTTCTTATCTCCTCTCTCAGAGGGTGTTTGCTGTTATTCTTCTCGCCCTCAGATTTATTCAGAGGATTTTGTTATTGCTTATCAAGCTCCAAGCATTGCATGTGAGAGCCCCCGTAAAGCTAAAAGTTAAAAAGATAAGTCAAGAAAGCCAGTAGGCCCCAAAACGCAACGCATCTCTTACCCCAGCCCTAGGTGTTCTCCGCCCCTAGCCCTTCAAAAACTCGCCTAGCGCGAGTGCGTGTGCGTGAGTGTGTATTAGGGGTGGGCGGGAAGGGCATGGAGATGCGAGGAAGCAAACAGGAGGTGACCCAGATAAAGAAAGCGGACGGTTTGCGATGTATCCTAGGACGCCCACTTCCTCCACACACACCCCCTCTCAATCCAGCCTGCAAATCCCTGCCCTGTCCGCATCATCGCTCGGACCCAGGGCTGACCTGACCACACAACCAACGCCCGCTGCCCCCCCCCCCCCCTTCCTGCCCTATTTGTTCACCTTCTCTGCACCCCTCCAACCAAAATGTCTTCTCACCACGAAGGGCCCCTCTGCACGCGAGCACACACACATATCCACGCGCACACATACAATCGCACACATAAACACACGTGCACACACGCGTGCGCATCCACAAGGCTCCAGTCCAGGCTGAGGTCCCTTTATTCACCTTATAGTCCTCCCTCGCAGCCCCTTCCCCAACCCCACCCTTTCTACTGAACTTCCAAAGAGGGCGGTTCGCGGGCATTCCGGCCACCGCCCACGCTGCTACCCCTTCCCCTATCTCCCTTCCCCTCCCTCTCCCCGTTCCCCATCCCCCTCCTTTTCCAAGCCTGGCTGGTGCTTAAATTACCTGTTTTGATGACCTGGAGTCTTCCTCTGCAAAGAAAATGCGCGATCGGGTGCTCAATCCCCCCCCTCCTCCTCTTTCCCTCCTCCCTCCTCCCCTCCTCCCGCTGGCCGCTCCTCCTCCTGCTCCTACTCCCTCCTCCCCGTCCCCTCCCCCCCCCCAATAAGCGTCGGTGTCAGTCACTCAGCTCCCAGGGAGAGTCGCCGCCAGCTTCCGGGAGCTCCAAATACAGACAAGTTGGAGAAAGGCAGGAGGAAGGAGGAGGAGGGCCAGAGGGACAGAGAAAAGAGCCAAAGCTGGGGATGGGATGGGGGGGGGCGGCGTGAGGGTGGAGTGGGTGGAAAGGAGGGAGGGGGACTGGAGCAGGATGGAGGTACCCCAAAACAAAAAAAAAACCCAAAGCCCAGCCCATCAACCTGCACTTCCAAGCACTCTAGTTTATACAAGAACAGTAATTCTACTTACTGCCTCAGTTGTGACTAGGCAACGCTGCAAAGATGTCCTTGGAAAGATTCAGAAGTCTCCGAGCTAAAGGTTAAGAGGCAAAGGAGGCGGAGCCTCCAAAGATGGGTGGGGAGGAAGAGTCTGTCTTCCGCTTTGCTTTGGAGACAAGGGACAATAACAGTGTTTCCCCCTATTTTAGGGAAGGCTGAATGTTCTTGGGAACACTTTCTAGCTTTATTTCAGGCCTGCTTACTGAATGTCACTCAGGACACTTTTTCCATGTGCCTCTACACAATCTATCCCCTATTCATTGCCTCCTCATCTTCACCAAAAGGAATTCCTAGCTTCTTTATCCAACTCTCTCCAGACGCTGGGCTCTCTCCCCCATTGCCTTTTATCTACTTTTTTATACACACTTCTGTGTGAGTTGAAATGTAGGTTCTTGAGGACCAGGGACTTTCATTTTTGTCTATCTCCTAGCACAGCCACTTGTTTAGTATGTCCTTAGCAAATTCTTGTTGATTGAAGAACTGTTTATTAATCGCCTACTCTGTGCAAGACACTGTGCAAGGATTTGTAGTAGATAGAAAGACAAGGCAATATCCCTACCTTCATGAAACTTACTGTTTATCAAGGGAAATATGAGGTACACATTCAATAACTATGTAATAAATACTTAATAACTATAATTCTTCAAAATTCAACAGATATTTATTAAGCACCTACTATGATGAACAAGGCACTGTACTAAGCACTGGGAATACAAAGATGGAAAGGACACATCCTGATATCAATGAATTTAGAAGATAATGGGGGCCTCTGAGGCCCTTTCCAGCTCTGCATCTCTGATCCTAAAAATAGTAGCTAGCATTTAAGAGAGCTTTAAGGTTTGCATAGCATTTTACATATTATCTCATTTCATCCTCACAACAACCCTATGAAATAGGTATTATTATTATTGCTATTTTAGAGATGAGGAAACTGAGGCTGGAGAGCTTTAGTGACTTCAGATCCTATGCAAGTAACTTTAATTCAAGGGAGAGCAAGATTAGTACCAAGGAGAGGTACTTGAGAAATTTGCTGAGAAATACATCACTTTTATTATGACAGGGCAAGAAATTTATCACAGGGGAGGTGAATCTGAGTTGGACCTTGAAGGAAGAAAGTGATGACAAAAACAGGAGATGGAAGGAGAGGGGGGGCTCCATTTTATTCTTGGAGAATGGCCTGGGCAAAGGTACGCAGGTGGGAAAGACCATTTCACTGGACAGAGAGTAGTCTAATTTGGTTGGACCTTAAAATAATTTTTTTGGGGAGCAGCTAGGTGGAGCAGTGGAAAGAGCGCAGGGCCTGGAGTCAGTAAGACTCATCTTCCAGAAGTCAAATCTGGCCTCAGACACTTACTAGGCGTGTGACCATAGGTAAGTTCCTTAACTCTGTTTGCCTCAGTTTCCTCCTCTGTAAAGTGAACTAGAGAAGGAAATGTCAAACCACTCCAGTATTTTTGCCAAGAAAATCCCAATGGTGCCATGAAGAGTCAGACATAACTGAAATGACTGAATAAAATAAGGGGAGGCCAGCCAGTGTAGGCACTGCCTTCATTAAAGCATGTTACAATTCAATTTGTGACTTAGTAGATAGATTCCTGAGTTACTATAACCAAAAATATCCATCAACTAGTGGTAGTTTGATTTTTTATATCTTGAGCCTTTTTAATCTTGATCTTCAGACTATAGACACTTTGTCAATCACCAGCTTGTACAAGGACTTGCCATAGCTTGAGATCTGTTAGTGTAGAGCTCCAGAACTCAGGGTCACCTCTGAAAGATGGTGAGTCATTGGGGTTGGATTTTATGGTAAGAATATCAGGTAACTAAGGAGGAATAAATGAGCTGAGTCTTGCAAAGAATAACAAAGACAACAAAAAAGGGATTTTAAAAGCTATGTTTGGGGCCAAGAGAATAACCCAAGGGAAGAGAACCACAGCTAAAGCTGGATAAAGGAAAGGAAGAGAATAACCATACTATGGTAACCACTATGTACCAGTTACTGTGCTAAGCACTTTGCAAATATTATCTAATTTGATAAGATAATAATGTGTGATAAAGAAGAGGCACATTACTCAACTCATAAGTTGCTTCTATTTTCTCTATCAAGGAGAATGATATTAAGCCTGAGAAGAACAAAAATGTTAATGAGGAATTAAAAGCTAGATACATGAGACATAAGGTGAAGATGAGCAAGAGTGCATTTTAGCTGCCCTTAATGAATTCAAGATGCCAGATCTGGAGGAACTGAAATAACTCAGGGTACTGAAATAAATTCCAGAGTTTCTGTTGATAATTTTTTTAAATTGTAAAACAGGAGATCTGCCAGTGAGTTGGAGATAGGCAAATGTGGTCCTGATTTTCCCAGAACAGTAAAGTGCATGATTTCTGGTGAAGTTCTAGAATATGTTGTTAGGAAGAAATTTTGTGAGTACTCAGAAAAGGAAATGATCACTGAAATCAGCACGAGCTTATCAAGAACAAGTCATGCCAGGCTAACCTCACCTCTTTTTTTTTTTAACATGGTTACTAGACATACCCAGATTTTTGCAAGATATTTAATAATGTCTCTCATGATACTGTAAACCGTAACTTGATTCTACCATTTCCACATAGCTATTGACCTATATGTCTCCTCCTCTTTATGATTTATACTCCTTGAAAAAGTCATCTATGTCTCCTCTCATTTTCTTCTAAACATCCTGTAATTTGGCCTCTGACCTCATCATTCAACTGAAACTGTCCAAAGTAACTGATGATCACTTAATTGTCTAATCTAAAGGTCCCTTCTCAATCTTCGTCTTCCTCGACTCCTCAACACTATTTGACACTGTTGATCACTTTTTCCTCCTGTATTCTTTCTCCTTTCTAGGTTTCTGTGGCACTACTCTCTTCTGATTCTCCTTGTCATCTAATTTCTCAGTTTTCTTTTGTCATATTTACTTACTGTAGATAGCTCCCAAGTCTCTGTTCTGGGTCCTCTTCTCTTTTCACTCTATACTTTATCACTTGATGATCTCATCAGGTCTTATGTGCTTAATTATCATCCCAAGATCTAGATATCTAGCCCCTAGCTCCTCTTTGAACCTCAGTCACATATTACCAGCAGCCTTTTGGAAATCCCAAAGTGAATGGCTCCTAAGCAACTTAAGCATAATATATCCAAAAGAGAAAGCATATCTTTTCACCCAAACCTTCTCCTTTTCAAAACTTCCCTGTTACCATTGAGGACACGACCATTCTCTCAGTAACCCAGGCCTCAGTGTTATTTTAACTTCTCACTGTCAATAACTTCACATAATCCAATCCAATGCTGATTCTCATCAATTCTACCTTCACAGTCTCTTTTATACATCCTCTTCTCTCCATTCACACAATCGTCACCCTAGTTCAGTCCCTTTCACTTCTTTACTGGACTATCGCAATAGCCTTCTAACTGGTCTCTTTATCTCCTGTCTTTCTATAACTCCAATTCATCCTCTATTAAGCTGCCAACATGATTTTTCTAAATATAGTACTGTAAAATTAATTCCTAAGTAGATAAATGGTCTAAGGATGTGAATAGGTAGTTTCAAAGGAAGAAATCCAAGTTATCAAGAATCATATGGGAAAAATGCTCCAAATCACTAATAATTAGAGAAATACAAATTAAAGCTACTTTGAGCCAGGCAAAGAAAATAAGAGGAAAATAATGAATATTAGAGGGGCTTTGGGGAAATAGGCACACTAGTGCAATAGAGTTGTGAATTGGTGTAGCCATTCTGGAAAACAGTTTGTAATTATGCCCAGAAAGTTACCAAATCGTGCAAACCCTTTTCAGCTATAAAACTACTAGTCATATACTCCTGCCCCCAAATCAAACACAAAAGGAACTATATGTACAGAAATATTTATAGCAGCTCTTTTAATTGTAACAAAAAATTGGAAACTAAGGGAGAAACTTACTATTTTGGAATGGTTAAACAAATTATGGCATATGAATGGAATGGAATGTTGTAATGACATAATAGATGATGGACTAGATAATTTCAGAGGAAATCAGGAAGACCTACCTTTGTAAACTGATGCAGAGTGAAGCAGAATAGGAGAACAATTTTGTAATGATAATGCCATTATAGAGAAAAATAACTTTGAAAGGCTTTAGATCTTTGATCAATGCAATGATAAACCACAAGTCCAAAAGAAGGAAGCTGAAACACATAACTCACTTCCTAATAGAGAGGTGATGGACTTAAAATGCAGAAAGAGATATCCATTTTTGGACATGGACAATGTAGGAATTATATATTGAAGGATTTGGTTTTTCTTAAAAATGTGCTTGATGGGAGGGGTAGAAAATATAGATTGACTTTTTAAAAAGTGTTACCTGAAAAAAATTATATATACTCTCACACAATACGGTAGAGATCTGACCTTTTTAGTCTCTTATTTGATGAGTTCGGGTGGCTCTCCATTGCATCTAGGATCCAAAATAAAGTTGACTTTTATTTAAATCTCTTTCAACCTTACCAGTCTTTTTTATATTTTATTCTCTTCCACACACTCCACAGTCTAGCTATGCTAGCCTATTTGTTGTTTCTTGAACATAACAACCCATCTCTGTGTACTAGCTGCCTCCCACACCTGGAACGCTTTGCCCGCTTACCTTTGCTTATGCAGAGGGCCTTTCCTAGTCCACCCCCCCTCCCAGCTACTAATACTTTCCCCCATTCAGATTACCTGTGATTTATTCTGCATATATCTCATATACCTAATTATTTGCAAGGTATTTTTCTCATTATAATGTAAGCTCCTTGAAGGAAGGGACTATTTTTGCCTTTCTTTGTATTCTTAGTGCTTTGTAAAGTGCTTAGAATATAGTAAGCCCATATAAATAAATGTTTGTTGAGTGACTGACTGGACCAGATAGAAAGATGTGAGATATATGATAGACAATTGTGTGGCTTCAGAACTGGTTGAAGGACTGGGCTCCATAAAAGGAGTCTCTAGTGGCATGCTACAGAAATCTATGTGTTTGATGTGTTTTATCAATGATTTGAATGAAGGCATAGGTGGCATACTT